TCTCTGATCCCTCACTATTCCCCATAGTGAAGATAATAGCCTATTTTTGCCATCAGCTACTTTCTTAGTGCATGTGGCAGAAGACCGTGCAGTATATTTAAAATGCCTAGTGCTCCTAATGAACAATGTGGATATCCATATTGTTTGAATTTCTGTTTTCTTCATTTTTTTTAATTAAGAAATCATGATCAGGGGATACTGAAATATTAATGAAATCAAGCACTCAGAACTGTGCACAGAACCCAAGCCACTTTGTACATATGTATTATAATATAATCAATCACATGACTGCATACTCTTTTTTTCCCACAGGACCTCCGTTCATCTTGTGCACAGGATAGGCTGTACTTATTTAAATGCATGCTACTCAATTGTACAGTATTCTCATGGTTCCAGCTGTAGTATCAGGCCATATTTACTCCACCTTAGTCAAACTTCTAGTCTGAAGATAGTATCACCTCAGAAGCTACTATGGCACTCACTACTACATCATCCAAGTGATTCACAAACATTCGTCTTCCCAACACGCCTGCAAAGTGAAGGAAGGAGCAGTATTTCATACACATTAGACACGAGGGCTGGAAGGTACCTTGGGAGATCATCAAGTCCAGCTCCTATTAACTCTACTTCACAGGTAGGGAAACAACGTATAGAAATAATAAAGTAAAAAAGTAGACATTAATTGTAGATGCCAAAGACATGACTTTTTCAGAGTACTTGGCATAACATAACCACTTTGTTCAAAGCACAGCTTTCCTTTACCTCAGCAACTAGTGCAAGCCTCAGAACTTCTTCAAGTCAAATGCCAGGGCATTAAGTCCATCACTCAGATAAGAGGGCTCCACAGTTGGCAATCATCTCTGAAAAGTTTAGTTTAAATGACTTGCCAAACATCACAAAAGGCCTCCATGTCAGAGGCCAAGTGAGCATCCAATGCTTCATATTCAATTGCCTTAACAATGAGACCTTCCAGTCTCATTCTCATCCTGCATTCAGTCCTCTGCCCCATTTGCTATACACCTTCCAACTTCTGAAACAACTTAGCAGAACCCTGGAGACAAAAGCCTGCTTTACTACACAACCCCACACCAGGCTCATTCTATGCATTGAATGGGGCAGGAGTCCTGTAGAAAAAAAAATGTGACCATGCAGTTAAAAACTGTATCATATACATGTACACAAGGCAGTTTAATGAAGGCTGTGCAGGGCACCTGGATTGTGCCAACTTCTGAGTGCTTGACTCTGCAACCTTAATAATGTTCTGCTCCTGCAGGTGTATGCCTGCAATAGATAAGGCTAGCCATTTGTACACCAATTCCTGTGCTCTTAAAGGGATCTGCCTGGTCCAACCTATGTTTACTTACCTGCCTATCTTTAGGTAGAGCTGAGCTGTGACCTCTTTAGGGCAGGGCCCATCCCCTACTGAATATTGGGAAAGCACTGTGCACTACTGTAACAAAACAGGAAAGGGGTAGTTGTTTAAGAGTCCCTTTGGGAAGCAGAGATTCAATAACTGTTTAGCATATTGTTTAAAGTATCACCTTGCCAGATAATATTTTAAACAATATCACCTTTTATCTGAGGGCCCTACCACATGTTCAAATTAAAGCTGGATAAAAACCAGCTATAGAGTTGTTACACATTTTCAAGCACTAGTTTTATAGTTGATCCACTTTTTACAGCTGAATAGACATTTATATCATGTGGTAATTACTTTGCATCTATGCCTGGTTTACATTTATTTTGTGATCATGCAGTCAATTGCATGACAGATGTAATGTGTAGCAGGGGCCACAGAGACTTCAGTGAATGTCTTATTTATATTTCTGTGAGAAATTATGTTTCTTGTTCTTCTAAGATGTATAGTTTAGAAATGAGAAAAGTGGCTGGCTTTCAGAGTGTGTTTTTAGATCACAAGAAACAAATTGAGTTTGTGCTCAAACACTAAAAATAAAACTAATCATCTGGGGTCAAAGCCAACCTTGCCATAATTGTTCAAGCATTTCAAATGAATTCATTGGAAATGTTGGCAGGAGTAAGGCAAGGAAGATTTGGTCCTCAATCTTTGAAAGCCTGACTAGAATATGCTCCGATACCTTCTAGCAGCAGAGAACAAGTAATTAGCTTTACTGCTGCTACTGCATCTAGCTACATCAGGTAGAAGACAGCTGTCACACTGCTGTACATAACTATCAGGTAGCAGGTATCCTAATGGTTCATCTGCTGTCAGTGGAACATTAATTGGTGAAAGCAGCACAGATGAGAAATTTAAAAGACAAAAGATACCAGCTGCTTTCTACTTTGTTTGTGCATTTTTTCACCTTTACTCATTCTGCCCACTATGCTCATCAACCAAGCCAATATTATCTTCTCATTTAAGGTCCTGTTACAGTCTTACTTTTCTGTGAAGTCTATAAGAAGACAGTCAACTATTTCCTTGTGTTTAATGGGATCTGTTCTATTTCTCTAATAAAAAAACACTAAGATGTGAACATGCCTAGTGATGAATAATCACATTATTCTATTGCCGTAACCTTCATCCTGGTTTGTTGTATCCCTCACACCTTCACATAAGAGGTCATGTCTAAATATAGTCGGCTGTTTTGGGTAAGGACAGCATCCTTCTTGTCTCTGAAGGATGTATTACACCTTTGGATGTTGTAAAATAAATAAGTACTGAGAACATTTAACCCTTTTGCTGTTGAGCAGCATCCTACATGTGTCCACTGCATTTAGTAGGAATATATGTTTTTCTAATTAAATTACACACAGGCAAAATGAAACATTAAGGCTGCAAACTCAAGTGCTTAAAAGATAGGAAGTGATAGAATTAAGGTTGCCTGTGTAATCTTTACTCAGCCCTCTTGTGCATGTGTATTATGATATAGTTGTTAATTAGTAAAGGATTACAACCTAGGTTTTCCAAAGAAGCCCTGCCTCATTCAGTATGCCGCAAAGCTGTGCTTTGGGGATGAATCAAGGTTGGGGAGTGAATGAGGTTGCATAAAACCTTTTGTTCTCATTTTTTTTTGCCTTATTGTAGTTCCTAGGCACTCTAATTGTAGACTGGGAAACTCCTGCTAGGTACTGGACAAACACAGCACTAAACTCCATCCTCACTCTGCAAGGCTTGCAACCTAAGCATAAGACAAAACATACCAGATGGCTACAAACAGATGGGAGAGTACACTGTGACAGCACTGGTCAGCATGATAGGCAGTGCTCTTACACACTAGCAGCCTGTTAAGCATTTTTGTATGCATTGTGGCAAAAGAGAATGTTAAGAAGGAATCTGAAATGAAATAGCTTTATGATGTCTACTCCCCTGTGATGCTTCTCTCCACAGGAGGAACAGATTAGGAGCAAACACAATGATTTGCACTTAAAAATGTAATGGGCACATGATGAATGTTGGTATCCTGGGCTGATCAGCTATGGGAGCTCACATTTTCACAGCAAATGACGGGGGGGGAGTGGCAGGCCATGGAAAACTTTCAAAGTGAAAACGAGTAGCTTATGTCTGATGTGAGAAACAAGAGGGAGCTAGTGGAGGCATGAGGAGAGGAATCCCCTGATCAAAGCAAGAAGCAACAGCAGTCAGTATAGATCTGAGCAGGAAAAAACCCTACATTTTTTAAGGCCAAAGAAAAATATGTCACAGTAATTGCAGTGTACAATGATTAGAACCTAGAAAAGACCTGCCAGTTGTGTGGATGAGCTAGGAAAAGCCAAACCTTCAAATCGTACACGGAAAAGCCAAACCTTCATATCATACACAGAAGGCATTTGCAAGATTTAGGCATAGGCTGAAGGGGCCATAATCATTGCATAAACTGGAATGCAGGCACTCAACAGGGCACAGTGCCCAGAACTAGTGGACACTTTTTTCCTTAATCTCTCATAGCTTTATTTCCCTGTGTGAAAAAGGGATAATACCCACTTTTCTCAAAAGGATGTTGTGAAAATAAAGCTATCAGTGGTTGCAAAGAGCCCAGATCCTGTAGGTAAGCTAATAAGAAAACTGTCTTCAGCCTGTGGTTTGAAAAGGCTGTAATTAAGGCATGGGATCATGTACTGAATAAGGAGAAAAAATACTGAAACAGTTGCTCATGAAAGAAGCCCTGAGGCCTTTGGGAGAAACCTGTGGAAAAACTGTGTGATTATGCATTTGGCATCATAATATACAGACACAAGTGCCGTGTCTGCATGAGATGCTGACTACACAGGAGCCCGTGACTACTGCACAGTAGTGTCACGTGTCAGGAAGTGTGATGCAATGTTACTGCACAGTACTCATGAGCTACTGCACAGTCAATGTCACAAAAGCCGTTCCTGGGCGTTAATGCAGTCATGTAATACTTGTATAAACCGTGCAGTCAGCCTCTTTTATAGATGCAGCCAAGGCATCCAAGTGAGGCTTGCCTAGTGACTTCAACTCCAGCACTGCCAACTTTGGAGGGCTTGACTTTGCAACCCCACTGAAATTCTTTTAATACTAATTTTTGCATGTAATTTCCTAAGCTTTTAAGAACTTAAGAACTGCCATTTACTGGGTCAGACCATAGGTCTGTCTTGCCAGTAGCCCATGTCACTCAGAGAGTAGATGCTGAAAGGGAGAGTGAATTGGGTGTGACCATGGTTTTTCCCCCTGTTCTTCTCTCACTTGCAGCCTTCAGCATTTAAGGTCTAGAAAGTTCTCATTCAGAGGCCGCATCCCTAACGTCTGGGCTCAACAGCTACCGATGCCCCTTTCCTCCAAAAACATGTCCTGTCCCATCCCTTTTTGAACTGGACTCAGCTGTCAGTATCGCAGCACCTGGGGACAGCGAGATCCCCGCTACCTGATCCTCTGCGTGAAAAGGAACTTCCTAGCATTAGTTTGACACGGGTCTTTGGGTCTCTTTTACCAGACATCAGATTTACGCAGAAGACCTTGTCTGCCTACGTTCATAGACCACCACAGCTACAACCCACACCCCTGCCGTTAGTTTTAAACTTACTGCCCACTCCGTTCGTGTTGTGACCCCCAGTTCGTGCCTTGGGGGACAGCCGGTAGCAAATCCCTGTCGATGCTCTCCCCGCCAGCCAGCATGTTGTCAGCCCTCCTGGTGCTCGCCATGAGCCTCTCTTTTCTAAACACAACAGGCCTGGCCCCTCCAGTCTCTCTCCCCATGGACACCCCTCCAGGGCTCATCATCCCGCCGCCCCTGCCTGGACCCTCCTCTGGGTCCTGGGGCGGGCACTCAAGGGGGGCCTCGAGAAATGCAGCCGGGGTCACCACGGCCCCCAATCCACGGGGCGGGGATGGAGGAGCTTGAGCTCCCGCTCCAGAGGCCTCCCCCGCCTCAGCACCGTTACTCGAGCCCCGCGGCCACGGCCGCGCCCAGGCCTGGGCCTCCGCCAGCACCACCCAGGCCCGGCCCGGAGCGCGCTGGGGCTTGCAGTTCCCGCCCGTCCACGCCTCGCCCAGACTCCCCCGGAGCCGCGAGCCGGAGAACTCCATCTCCCAGCGTGCCCCGCGGCAAAAGCCTCCCGCGCCCCCTCCGCCGCAGCACCGCGGGGGAAGGCTGCCTGCCGGAGCCGGCTCGCGCCGCCGCAGCC